ATTTACAAGCTTAATCTTATTGAGGTACACCAATGGATGATGAACTGTCTCCAACACGAACTCCTTGCCATTGAGATATCGATGGAATTTCCAAACCGTCCATATAACTTCAAAGCATTCCTTCTCAATGGTTGCATAGTGTTCCTCATTCAATTGCAACGTCCGGCTTCCATAAGCAGCAGGTAACTTATATATATCAACTTCCTTTAAATGTAAAACATTGTGCAAAACTTCAAAAATAAGTTGGCACTGGTTCTGCGTTGAAAACAATTATACGATTAAGTCCTATGAAATCTATTCAAAATTGTTAAGTGTTGTCTTTTTTCACTACTAATACATAGGAAACAAATAAAGACTATCTGATTTTTCTGATTCCCATCTCAAACATAATACTTCCTTCCTCCTTAACTGCAAATCGAAGCTGTCTTGGACTTGCTCTGATTGTTGTCTGTAGTTTTGCGTATCTTATAAATAGGTGTGACCTGGTTTAATTTGTCAGTCAGAACGTCACTAAAACTATGTAGATGTTCCATAGACATTTCCCTCTATTATTTGCTCATGATCAGACCTGGGTTCAAATCTATATCCTTGTATGTGTCTACCTTACATATATATACATACCCTTCTTAGTCATCCTGGTTCATCAATTTGTTCTGGACAACAGACATAGCAAAACTCACCACTGTCTCTAAACGTTCAACATAACCTTTTCAGAAATAAGGATGATAGGTTTTGAATTTCTCATATATGTCCAATTGGTAGTGTACATTACATATCTTCTTGACAATCAGGGTTTGGTATCATGCTTGACAATATCTGAAACATGGTAAAAGTTTCATTGTAAATGAAAGTAACAAAGTATTTACTTTTTATGGATAGTAAAAATTTTGATTTACTATAGCCATCAAACAGCAGACAACAGAAATATCAGAAATATAAGATGTTGGAAAGAGAATACATGATGGAGTCTGATTTTTTCTTTGCGATTTAATACCTAATTAATAGGTATTAAGATAGATGCAACAAATATTATACTGAAATTCTTGTAAAACAGGCATTTTCGTTTTTTATTTTGTGTAAGTATTTTTTTTAAGAAATAATTTCTCATTATATTATCAATGGTCAGAACCTTATAACTAACGTAAAGAATCTGTACATTCGTATGAATTTCAGATGTTTAGTTGGGTATTAACACAATAAAGTAGAAAATACAATACAGTAACTGCTATAGACCATAAGATGCCTTTTTTTTTTTTTTTTTTTTTTTTTTTTTTTTTTTTTTACATTTATTTATTTAAAGTATAAAGAAGACGAAATATATCATGGAAAATAAATCAACTAAAGAATTCACAGGTAGGTTAGGACTTCCATAGGCAGAGGTTCTGGAAAACAATTGCGACATTAGGTTAAACAAAGCAAATAAATCTGGGTGAAAACATACAAATATACTCTTTCATACATGCCCAGATAATTCTATTTTGTTGAACTTTAAAGATTTTTGTAGCTGTACCTATATTTTTCAAATTTTAATGTTCCCAACAGCTGATGCAAATGACATCTCTTTGGTCGAACTCAAGCAGATAAAAGAAGTCATCCCGATTTGTATTTTTTTTTTCAGTATAGTACTACTTTTGAGCTTGATTACTATTCGTTATTTCTATATTTGATTGTACATATATATATATTTTTATTTATTTTATTGTTTTTGTTTTTGTTATGAAGTTTTTAGTCTAGCTGCCTTTAATTTGAGTACTCAAATATTACGTTAATGTGCTTTAAGCAGAAATTCACCAAAGAAATGCTTTGCTAAATGATATATGTTAAGGTGTAATCATTGACATAACTAAAAAATATACTGGTATTGATTCATGAGAGGTCAATACCGATTCAATAGAATTGATTTGGATCCATTTCTGATATTATTGCACTTATTATTGATATCTATTTTATGCCACGAGTATTATTTATCTATTATGTTTTTGTTTTTTGTTTTTTTCCATTTTTAATAGACAATATATATTACAGTGTTAAATCAAGGTTCTGTAATAGTATTGATGTTTTAAATTGCAAAGATGAAAATGAAATAAAATTCAAACGTAAATAATACTATAGTAACCAGCGTCATTTCAGAAAAGAGGGTATTTTTTCTAAATTAATTACAGATTTGCATGACAGTAGGTATCATTTAAGTAGCTCACACAGTGCTGACACGCAATATTTATTACAGCTTTTTTCTAAACGCTCAAACATTTCAGGGAAGAATTTTGTGTACCGTGATATGTGTTTTGTGTCTAATTGTTCCCTTAAAAGCAGATTCCTCGGGAATAAAGCCACATCCTTTTGTAAAAGGTATATTATGATTCAAACAATCATGAATTACACATGAAAGTCGGGATTATTTTAGCAAAGGATTTCAATAGTCGGTTTAAATATTCCCGTTTCTTTTCTACTTTGGACTTTTTTGAATGGATTTGAACGGTTCTTTAATCTACAATACCTTTATTTTTTTTATCTTATAGGTTGGGAAAATTCAATCCCTAAGCATTTGGATGTCAAAATGTTGAAAATAAATAAACATTTTTATATCTTCCATTTTAATGTGAAATATTTTTCTTCAGGTGAAGTTGGTTCTTTCTTGAAGCATGCATCTTGGTAGCATACAGAAATGTCGGCATCCCTCAAAGGACCAATGATTCTGACATTAAAATCTAAGTACAAACTTGAAGGAGGATTGGTTTTCTCCAAAAATTGTAAGGATACGTTTTATTAAGAAGGTAGATTGCATAGAATTAATGCAAATGTCATAGAAATTGATAACATGCATACCTTAAAGCATACCTAAAATTTCGGTTCTATCCCTTGATTGACAGTTCAGAGGAAGTACAAGGATTGTGCTGACATTTTAAAAACGAAACCACATCGTAGAAATAATGATGGTGTGTACACAATCTATCCTGAAAAAGGCATGAAAAAGAAAGTGTTCTGTGATATGACAACAGACGGAGGAGGATGGACGGTAGGTACAAATTGTTAAACTATGAAGTAACTTCAGGTCAAGATCTAGGAAGGTGCCTGCAAGTTTTTTTCAAATTTGCGAAACGCATTCTTTTAACCATGGTTTATTATGTATCATATCTTGGTTAAATAAGTTGTTTCGAGACATAATTTTTTCGGTAAACACAATAAATGAATGAGTTTAAACTGTTACTTTTAATGAAAAATGAAAATAAATCAGATATATATTGGATTCTTTATTCATATCACTCAAATCAAATGTATCCAGATTGTCTACAGTCTCTCAGAAGATGGTAATTTGTATGTTCATGATTTCTTCTTTAAAAAACTGTATGTGTACTTCAAAAAAAGCGGGCTTTATATTTTAGCGGCTTTGGTGTGGAGAAAGATGGGCTAATTCATAAATACTGTTATTTTCATATCATTTATAAATTATGACAACCATGCCCCGTGATTGCGCTAAATTTTAAATACATCAATTCATGTACACGTGCAGTAATATTAGATTGAATACGGGTATCCGGATTACGTTTCACATGATTTGAAATGATTTGAAATGAAATGTTGTGAAAATACTTCATTTTCTACATATTTAATGATAACTGTAAAGTAGGATAAAAAGAGAGTTTGAATTGATTTTGACGTAATAATGGTTCTGGCACCAAAAAGCTGTTCAAACTCAAATAGTGAATCAGTTGATCTTGATATACAAAGAATTGTTCTTTTAATCTAATTTTTAACACACTTCGGTGTGATTGTTAATGTGCGTGAATGACTTGCTTTGTTGCTGCTGGATACTTAAGAATTTTACCTGCACATAAAATATAAAAGCATGGGTGGCGGAAGAAGGTAACATGTATAAATGGCGTTTATACAAAACGAACAAACGATTTGCAAAAACACACTGAGATACAAAACAAACAGCTGAAAATAAAATCAACAGATTCAACTGTAAAAACAAGAGACTCTGCTACAAAACGAATGACCACCGTTGCAAAACAATCATTGACTGAATTAACGCTAGATAGCGCGAGAGTCAATCTTAATTGTAATTTATGGAAAGCCAAAGGGTTCATCTCTGTAATTTATTAAAAAAAATATGTAAAGCTTAATTTGTACATTGTAAATTTGTAACTTTACAAATTGTACTACACAACTTGTTTGACTATATTTAAAAGAAAGTATGTCAATGCATAACATTGTAATAATGAAAATTTATTACGTTGCTTTACACTAAAACGCCCACAAGGTAGTCTAAAAATAAAGTTTATTTTTTAAAAATCATATATAGTTGTGGTATTTGTGGTATCATATTTAATGATCCTGTGAGTATGATCTTTTAATGAAACGTTTAATATTCTATCGTTATTATTATTTTTTCATATTGATACATTGTTAATGTGCTAGAAGCATTTATGAAACAAAGATTAAAAGAGCCAATTTGTGTATATATTAAGGTCAGTGGGTGTGTTTCTGTCCACAAGCATCTGTAACTTTAAGAAGAATTAACGTCCCAATCAATCAATTTCATCTGCCTTTAAGGCCGTTTGCAAAAATAAAATGGTATGGGAGAGGGAGCTATTCCAGGATCGAAAAATTTCACTTGTTTGCCATTGAAATGATAATAAGTACATTTGTTTATACAAATGTAATATAGATGGAATCTTGATAAATAGCTATGTTTTTGTTACAGTTATTGAACTGAGGTGTCTCCGTAATATCATGTGTCTTAGATTAAGAACTGCATCTGCCTTTTCCTTCACCCAGGTGACCTTTTTTCGTCCGTCGTCCGTCATTCGTCGTGTGTTAACATTTGACCATTTTCAGCTTCTTCTCTCAAACTGCTGAGCCAATTTGAGCCAATTTTAGCATATGGCATCTATGGGTAAAGGGGAACAAACTTTGTGAATTTCATGTTCCATATCCCAATGGGGCCTGAGGGGTGGGGTTAAACCAATCAAAATTTATTTTATCATAAATGACCTACCGTCCACCCCCCTCCGTCTGTTGTCATATCACAGAACACTTTCTTTTTCATGCCTTTTTCAGGATAGATTGTGTACACACCATCTCTATTTTTACGATGTGGTTTCTTTTTTAAAATATCAGCACAATCTTTGTACTTCATTCTAACTGCCAATACATGTATTAAATATAATGAAGGTTAAAAATAAAATCAAGTTATGCTTTACAGGATACATTAGATGAAATATGGGTATAATGAACAGTATTCGAGATCAAAGTCCATTAAAACAATACAATTCGGGAGCAGAGCAAACACGGGCATCCAAAAACATCAGAAGTGGGATCAGAGGCCATGGAGGAGTGAGCATCCCCAGCAGACTGGTCACACCTGCCGTGTGCTCCTTTTCATGATCGGATAAAGAAACGGAAAAATCCGTAGACCTTTCAGTGTGTAAGTAATGGTCTTACAATTAGTATGAAAAATGTCAGCCAGCATTTCATACAAGATTAAAATATATACTAATCTACCTTATCAATAAAAATCTTCCTTACAATTTTTGGAGAAGACCAATCCTCCGTCCAGTCTGTATTTAGATTTTAGGGTCAAAACCATTGGTCCATTGAGAGATGCAGACATTTCAGTGTGCTCCCAAGGAGCATGCTTCAGGAAAGAACCAACTTCACCTGAAGAAAAATACTTGCCATCAAAAATTAAGATGTGAAAGAAGTAAAAGTGTTCAAATTTTTATGACTGATTTTCCACATTTTCACGGATAATTTGAATTTTCAAGGATAAAATTCAACCTGTAAGAGCTGTTTCTATGTATAAACTATTAAAAAAAAACTTTTAAAAAAAGAAAAAGAAAAGTATAAATGTAATGATGATAAGGCCAAACAAAAAAATATGTGTGGTTCCGGTTACACTTTCAAAAAAAATAGGGTAGGTAGGTAGGGATTTTTTTTTTTTTTTTTTTTTTTTAACAAATGATTTTCTCAATTTTTCTAAATAATACCTATCACTGCTTTGCAAATGGCATTTAGATGTGATGTGATAATATACTAGTCAATATTGGTAGGGGACACCTACATGCTAGATTGCTTTGGACTTAATACTATTAAACACTTGCACTATGTTTTGCAAGGAGGCCGTCATTGCTGAAACTAAAACTTAAACCAGAGCCATTGATGGAAATTGGGGAAAATTCCGGAAAAAATATGAAAATTGCCAAAAAAGGTTAGGGTCGGGGGTATAAAATAGGGAAGGTCGGGTAACCGGAACCACACATATTTTTTTATTTGGCCTAAACAAAAAGTAATTATATGTATTTCATGTATATATCAGATAAAAGCTACCTTTTACAAAGGGCTGCGGTTTTATTCCAGACGGATCTGCTTGTAAAGGGACAATAAAACACAAAACGCACATCAACAACCCAACCATTCTCTGCTGCGAGCTACGATTGTTTGGAAGAGCTACACAAAATCTTGCGTGTCAAACTTTAAATGTGATATTTAAATGATACTTACTGTCATGCAAATATGTCATTAAGCGAAAATACAAACCTTTTCTTCTTCCGGAATTAACGACTGATATAATTCTTTTTTGAATTATTTTGCAAAAAAAAAAAACATTTTAGAAATACAAGAATAAATTTGATTTTAAATTGCAATATATAGTCAATGAATTACATTAAGGTATGTCACTAGTGACATAAGTTATATCAATGATTTTTTGAGAAGTATATCTTAGATAACTACCCATATAGCATGACTCAAAATCGCAAAGAAAAGTTTGGGTCAGTGTGCATGATACTGAGCAACGGTTCAATTAATTTTACCTTTTTGAACTAAAATTGTTACTTTAAGGTTTATTACTTTAACTTTTATCATATTTTACCAAATGTAATCATTGTAATAAATATAATCTTGTTTTATGCAAAATAGTTTGAATAATATTTATAATTTAAAAAGTCCTGCAAATTAATGCGCATTAATAATTGCGTGACCTTTTTGCACTAAAAATGTCATATTTGGGGTATAAAAAATAAATAAGTAATAAATTATCTTCTTGCATAGAGCTCTTTATTACTTTAGTGCTATCCGTTGAAAGAATCATCTGATTTAATATCAGGCAAGAAAAAGTTGGGGCAAGTGATGTAAATTTTGAGATATTGTCGAAACAATAAGATTTTCAAGCGAAAAACAATGTAAATTTTATCTTGACTTCTTAAATACATCTTCCATTAGCAAAGTCTGTTGAAGGAATGTGTAAAATTTTTAAAACTATTAATCGAAACCTATATCTAATATTTCTAGCATATAATAACGAAAAAAGAAATCTCCGAGTAAAAAATATGTAGGATTAAAGTTCCAATATATAAATTCAAACAAGTATGTAGATTTGAAGAACTTTGTTCTAAATATCCTTCCACCAAAAGTAATGGTTCTCCATAAATCTTGTTTCTCTACAATTTTGTGAGCAGTTCTTAAATAAATATCTATAATTTGCGTTGTTTAAATCAAATATGTCATAAAAATTAAATTGTAATAAATAATTTTGAAGTGACAAGTTCTAACCAAACTTTTCTCAAAAGCTTACGAGTGACAATCTTTAAATATTTTACAATGGAATAATAATACTCTTTGGCACAAAAAGCGACAATAAAAATTATATTAAAAGGAAGTTTAATGCATGTCAGTTCAATTGTATAAGTATAAACGTATGAATCAATATGTTTTTTTTTTATTTTTGTCAACATTTACACTCTAACATTTATTATCAAAACAATCATCCACTGGCGTCTTTTTACTTTATAAATGTTTTCCCATTATCAGAAACGTTTGAATTCCTGAGAATGAATCCACCCTACAATAAATAATATTTTCCATTCCGACATCTTTTATTGTATATGTCTACCATACATATGTTGATGTTCCTATAGGAGCAATCTCAAAAATAATGTCGTCTTAATATTGGGGATATTAGTGTTACTTCTTTGATTTTTTAGATCATTATAAAAATACTAGAATTACTAAAATCTGATGTGAATAAAGTGAAGGGATTTAGAACAAAGTGTCTGATAAATTGTAAGCCGTATACGATACGACTTCAATAATTTCATTATAAACTGTTTTTCATACATTCTGAATTTCATTATTTGACATTTTTGTTAGAGTCGCCTGCGTGGCACAGTGGTTAGAGCCTTTCCTCTAGAGTCGCGGAGTAAGGAGTTGATCCTTACGTCGCGGGTTCGAATTGTTAGCATTAACTTTATAATCTGTCAGCTTACATTTGTTTACGCTATCGTTCGTAGTTACGATATTCATACGCTACATTGTTCCGTACCTATTGTACAGCATAGGGACATTTTATAAACATTGAAAGTATTAAGGTATTTCCACCTTCGCAATTTTAATGATTCAAAGTAGAAAAACTGCATTTATTTTCACTGAATATAGTTTAAGTCAACTAATAACTGAAAAAAATATATACAGTATTATAAAAAATTATGTAAAAACTGGATGGAATAAATAATTCTGATGCTGAAAGTTCCAAAATAATTGTTACTTTATAAATATGTTTGAATTGTGAATATCTGGGAAACCATTTTATATAAGAAGTACAATAAAGAAAATGCCTGAATAGAGATACACGAAAAAGAGTTATTGCCCTTAGCACCATTTTTTACAGATTGAATAGTAGATTAAATAGAGAAAATTTATTACAATTTCAACAGTGAAATACTGTGATTTATGTATTGAATAAAAGTTATATTCTCTCACAGTGTGAAAGGATACCAAAGCGATATTCTCTCACAGTGTGAAAGGATATCAAAGTAAGAAAAAATTAATTTCTGACCTGTCATACGATAGAGATAGTAACGAAACATTTTGATAGAGCTAAAACTGCAAATTTCTTCCCAAAAATTCATGCTATGTAATGTTTTCAATCTCACAACTGCTAAGCTATGACTTCTCAACCGCTCAGCTATGACGTCACAGCCTATGACACTGTGTTAAGAAAAGACAGCTCTAGGCAAAGGAAAATCAAAGAAAATGTAATAAACAGAAAATTCAATGTTTTGTAGACGTATTCATCTACAAAACATTGAATATCCTCTATATACATTTTTTTCAATTCTTTTACTTAACAATATTATTCATTACACCAATTAACAAGCATTCTTCCAAAAGATATTTTTCTATTAAGTATGAAATTAAATATATAAAAGTTTTTTTACAAAAACATATGACATCACAGGAGGATGGAATACCTTAATTAATTCTAGTCAACTTTATTTTATGTATTCTATTTCCAGTTGTTAATTTTACATTGTGTTATTTGTTACGGTATTGTACGGGAGCTTGTGTGGCAAACGTAGTTCTGTGTGGGAACTCAGCTTCCCGTACAAGCTGTTGATTGATTGATAGTTCTTACGGCATATGTTCATTGGATAGTTTGAGTCATGTGACAGGGGATAGAAGGTTATAATTAATCAAGCGCGTACTACGCTACGACAGATTACAGCGGCAACATTTAAAAAGCTAAAGAAGAAAATAAAGACGGTGAGATCATTTAATTAGCCTAGTTAGAAATCTCCTAACACATTGGGCGACCTAAACTTTTGTTTCTGACGAATCAACCATGTTTTCTTAGGTTGTTATATACAAAAACCCTATCATGTGTGTACTATCTATATCATTATGCTAATGAGATGCTATACGTACAATATAAAAGTATGACTGATTATTCATCTTGAATATAATTCAACTAAGTGTCTACAGAGAGATGAGCCTGGTCTATTTTACATGAGAGCAAATTAAATTGATCCATCCTTGCAAATAGATGATTCATTTAGATGATGAAGCAATGACCTGTGTACATGCTGAGGATTCAGAAATACTAGCCACCTCTTGGGTAGCTTAAAATACCTACAAATTTAATTTGATTTAAATTTATTTAATTATTTAATTTTATTTAAATCTATTTAATTATTGATGCATACAAACGTCATATTGTTGATTAAAATTAATTATAATTAATTAGTTAATTTTATTAATTATTATTCATACCATTTTCATAATATATATATTTTTCTTAAGCATTTATTTATATTATTATAGTAACCAGTAGTGAATTCAGTAATCACTACGCAATTTACGATGTTCATTCACTGCCTTGTTCATTCATTCATTTAAACGGGTGAGGGTCAGTACGAGTATGAGTGTGTGTAGTCAAACTGGTTTTTTCTCTTTCCTTTGTGCATTCGCGCCAATACTAATTCTCGCGCACAAAATAACGTTCTCTCTCCCCAACACAAATTTATCTTGCGATAATTGTGATATTCAGTCTAGGATTCACTGTAAAAAAAATAATTGTTAAATTATGTCTTAGTATTCAATTATTATTCAATATCTTTTTGATCATTTTATTTAAATCAAGTATTTTCTACAATATCCAAATTTATAAATTTAAATGATCCACGTAACAGTGAGAGCGAGGTGAGAAAATGTTCCTTAAATACCTGTTATTACGTTTCAGGTCACCCTTTTCCTCTATATGTTTTATTCCATAAATGTAGAATATACAAATATAGAACCCAGCAGCTTTCAACTTTATACTTATACAAGCTGTGACATTTTGTGTGGAAAACATTCCTAAATATTCAACGACATGGCGGATGCCATGAATCCAACCTCGTGGTACGGGAGTATCTACCAGAAAAGAGGGCTTAAGAGTACATTCCCTTTGAGCGGCAAGTTGCATCCGGATGATGTTACTTCATCTAAAGTATTTTCACCGCTATTTCAAGATCCAAATTTAACATCATTGCAGTTAAGAACATCCACAAATACTTTTGGAAGGTATTATTTCCATAAGGTAATAAATAAGGTGATATTATGAATAATGATAATGTAAGTACACCAGGCCAATCTGAATCAGTCATTCCAACTTCAAACATGACAAATCAACACTTTAGTTCACATTATCTAGCCTTTGCTATATCGCCATTTCTACAATACCTTCTACATGCTTCAACCTTGCTGCGACTACAAACATTTGTCCATAGTTTAAAATGTTAGCCAATCTATTAGGCCAAAACCATTAAGAACGAAAATATCAATTAAGTGGCTTTTTAGTAGGAGATCCTGCAAATCTTAAGGTACCATCAACATTTCACTTGATTCACAGGGCCAAATCACTGCTTAGCCAAAGCAGCCAAATTTCTACATACCAAAAAAAGGAAGTTCTAATTTTGTAACGTTTTTAAATATATGCACATCAACAAAGGACACTGCAGTTCTAAAAATATTTAAGTAAAGTTCATATAGAAACCAAAAACAAGAGTGAGACATAGCAATTTCGTTTCAAATACCTTGAAACATTTGTAAAAACATAGAAA